TTTTTTTTTTTTTTTTTTAAAGAATATTTCATGTTACTTATGTTAAGTTCATTCAACTGGCTGAACTAGTAATTTGCCCACACAACAAGTTTCTATTTTCTAACAGTACTTGAGAAAAATGACTCATGGAAATTGAAGAACATGCACAATGCTCTTTTATTTGATTTAAAAATTGACAGTATCCTACTTAGCATTATTGTGTTTAGTATTAAAGCACCCCACCTTTAAAAAACATAGATGAACATTGACATTTAATTTCTTTGGAACAATTGCAGTAAATATTTACATTCCTTTCACTAATGCACATTTAATCAAAAGAACACATAAGGAATTCTGAAATGTTCAAGCTCAATATAAGTCAGAGGTCAGAACATGCATCAAAGTGCATTCAACATTTTTAAAAGAGATGCCATAACATGCCAAAAAAAATGTGTGTTAAAAAAGTGCAAAAACCAACCAAAAAGCCCAAAGCTACTTTAAAACTTTTATTTGTATTGTATATTGTTCATAATTAGAGCAGTATGTTTGTGGTCTATGTGTTTCTCTGAATTTTAGTCTGTTTATTTGAATGCCTGATTTTGATGATAACTTTATACAGTATCATCATGGGGCCTTCTATTTGATGTTTTTCATTGATATTTTATTATTAAAAATGTACGGTCAATGTCTGAAATGTCACCATACATGCATCCTACCCAAACAATGCTTACTGTTCTGCATTTATTTTTATAATTCCTTCCAATCTTGCTCGACTTTTGTGTAATGAATAATAAAAGTTCATCATATACTTGTAAACAGATGAAAACATGTGTTGTAATAACAAATGCTAATCCAAATGCAAATGTTGCAGGTAAAGATATGGTTCCAGAACAAACGTTCCAAGTACAAAAAGATCATGAAGCATGGCTCAAGTGGACCAGAAGGAGAACACCTTCAAGCAGCTTCTGCAACACCGTGTTCACCGGGAATGCCACCCCTGTGGGATGTTTCCATGTCAACCAAAGGTGCCCCCATGCACTCTGGAGGATATATGAACTCTTTTGGACACTGGTACCCTGGTCATCATCAAGACCCAATGGCCAGAACTCAGATGATGTGATGGGATGTTTCGGAAAATCTACAGTGTATTCGTATACCCTTTACTGATCTGACCATTTCGCTCTGTTTCAGATCACACCAGCCCTTTTTACTCACAGCCAAACTTTCTTCAAGTTTCTCCCCAGTATTTTCTTCATGAAGTTTTACAATACTGACATTTTTGCTTGCAGGTTTTTTTGTGGTGGATTTTTTTTAAAGACTGAATAAGCAACCCTAACCTAAAAGTGGATTTTGTAAACTCTTGTAAATTTGAATAAAATGCCATTGTCTGATTGCCATGTACATCTATACTGTATTTCAAAGCCTGCAACCTCAGTCATTCTTCTTGACTATTTATCAGTCTATTGCATTTTTTTCTTCCTTACAGTTTTAGTATTGAAATCTCAGTTTGACCCTTTTATTAATATAATGTCCTCAATATATCATTGTCAGGAATTTCAGATTCATTTTTTAGGAATTATATATATATAAAGTGGACCAGAAGGAGAACACCTTCAAGCAGCTTCTGCAACACCGTGTTCACCGGGAATGCCACCCCTGTGGGATGTTTCCATGTCAACCAAAGGTGCCCCCATGCACTCTGGAGGATATATGAACTCTTTTGGACACTGGTACCCTGGTCATCATCAAGACCCAATGGCCAGAACTCAGATGATGTGATGGGATGTTTCGGAAAATCTACAGTGTATTCGTATACCCTTTACTGATCTGACCATTTCGCTCTGTTTCAGATCACACCAGCCCTTTTTACTCACAGCCAAACTTTCTTCAAGTTTCTCCCCAGTATTTTCTTCATGAAGTTTTACAATACTGACATTTTTGCTTGCAGGTTTTTTTGTGGTGGATTTTTTTTAAAGACTGAATAAGCAACCCTAACCTAAAAGTGGATTTTGTAAACTCTTGTAAATTTGAATAAAATGCCATTGTCTGATTGCCATGTACATCTATACTGTATTTCAAAGCCTGCAACCTCAGTCATTCTTCTTGACTATTTATCAGTCTATTGCATTTTTTTCTTCCTTACAGTTTTAGTATTGAAATCTCAGTTTGACCCTTTTATTAATATAATGTTATAATGTCCTCATTGTCAGGAATTTCAGATTCATTTTTTAGGAATTATATATATATATATATATATATATATATATATATATTTATATTTTAATTATATTTAATTTTTTTGTAATTATTATTACAAGTTTAATGTCAATTCATTTTTTAAAACTACAATTATTCCATGTGGTCTCTTATTTTTATACAATAAAATCTAGTATAAACACAAAACAAATAAATAAATAAATTCAAATGAAAAAAATAAAGTTGCATGCATATTAATTATAAAATAATTAACAGAATGATGTTTAACATTTTTTTAGATGGAGTATAGCATGTCACGCCACAGGACATGTAAACATGCCAAATGGATTTAATTTAAAAGTCTCAAAAGTCTAAAAATATAATTTGTGAACCTGGAGCACAAAACCAGTCTTAAGTCGCTGGGGTATATTTGTAGCAATAGCCAAAAAATATATATTATTAATTATCAAAATTCTCGATTTTTCTTTTATGCCAAAAATCATTAAGATATTAAGTAAAGATCATGTTCCATGAAGATATTTTGTAAATTTCCTACTGTAAATATCAAAACTTAATTTTTGATTAGTAATATGCGTTGCTAAGGACTTCAATTGGACAACTTTAAAGGCGATTTTCTCAATATTTTGATTTTTTTGCACCCTCAGATTCCAGATTTTCAAATAGTTGTATCTCCGCCAAATATTATCCTATCCTAACAAACCATACATCAATGGAAAGCAGAGAAATTGACCCTTATGAGTGGTTTTGTGCTCCAGGGTCACATTTTTCAAAGCCAAGCTATATTTATATTCATGTTGAATATGTTGACTGTCTGATGCCATCTAGTGGTTTGAAACACACAAAGAGGGTATCAGCTTTAAGCGTTTGGCTGTAGTTAACTTTCTCTAGGCCTAACACACAAAAAATAACTAACAGATTAATGTGAACCGCTTTAGAATTATGTTGAGTTGAATACTGACCACTGGACAGAAAACACTAGACCATTATTTATTACTCTAAAAGGCACCACAATGAAGATGGAACTGGATTACAGAAAATCACATCAACACTGAGGCCTGAGAAACAGCGTTTTCTACTTGAAAGGCAATTTATCTTGAGCTGAACATGACAGACTATGAAGTGTCTGTTCAGCAGCTCAATGATCTGTTGACAGATGAAAACTGAGACTTCTGTATGCCCTCCAAACATTTTAATGAAGTCTACTCCTAGGAAATGAGTAAATCCTCACATAGCCTCCAGATATATGGATTAGGCATTACTGGATTCTTTTTTCATACCCTTAATTATAAGTATTATAGCAGCGGTGCTCAACAAACATTTACATTTTGCAATCATAAGTTTAGCCTCTCTTATCTGATAAGTTGAAATTCAAAACATGTTCATGTATCCTGTTGCAAATTCTCAAGGGCAAGCCTTTAAATAAACATGGCCTATTTTCCATATGTGAAGGACACCCTCTAATGCTTGATGCTTTCACACACTGACTGAGAGAGTGAAAAAGATCACTTGAATTGATGTAGCTGTTATTTTACAGGTCTGTAGCTACAAATGTAACACGTTTGCATCAGCTGGGAGTGACACACATCCTCAATGCTGCAGAAGGCCAATCGGACATGCATGTGAACACGGATGCAGAGTTCTATGCAGACAGGGGGATCATCTATCATGGGATACCAGCCTTTGACACTGACCATTTTGACCTCAGTGTATATTTTGAAGAGGCTTCTAATTTCATTGAAAGAACTTTGGCAATGCAAGGTCTGAAGGGTCTTGGTAAAAAGAAGTACTTAAAATGAATATCTTTTTCTCATCCATCATTCAGCGGCAGTGGTATTGCATTTGGTTCTTCAGAGCTATGCTTATTAATAAAGCATTCTGTTAAAGGGATAGTTCACCCAAAAATGTCAATTCTGTCATCATTTACTCACCCTCATGTCGTTTCAAACCTGTATGACCTTCTTTCTTTTGCAGAACTAGAAGATATTTTGAAGAATGTTGGTAACCAAACTGTTTTGGTTACAACTGACTTCTATTGTATGATGAACCAAAAATACTCAGATATTTCTCAAATCATCTTTTATGTTCCATAGTAGAAAGAAAGTCATGCAGGTTTGGAATGACATGAGGGTTAATAAATTATGACAGAAGTTTCATTTTTGGGAAAACGGTCTCTTTAATATCCTCAATCTTCTTAAAGGGGTCATATGATGCAATTTCAAGTTTTCCTTTCTCTTTGGAGCATTGGAGCTCTTGGTGCATAAAGAAGATCTGTAAAGTTGCAAAGACTAAAGTCTCAAATTCGAAGAGATGTTCTTTATAAAAGTTAAGACTTGTCCACGCCTACCTAAAACTGCTCGTTTAAACACGGCCCCACATGTCTACGTCACTGTGTGGGAAGATTTGCATAACACCGCCGAAATGTTCACGCAAAGAAAGAAGGCGTTACGTTTATTCTCGCTGTAGTATTGTTGTTGCCGCCGGCGCCATGTTGTGGAGATGCTGTGTGTTTAGTGAAAGCAAAACTACTTTGTTTGGCCTTCCAAAAGAGGACGATATCCGCTTCGGCATGCCTAGAACTGATCCGTGCTGGTCGCTGAGGAAATACATCAACTTCGCGCTGTGGATCGCTGGATCGGCTTTCACCGTGGACGAAGCGGAGTCCAGCCCAGGGTCGTCACATGTGGTTGCTGCAAACCTGCCGGACGCTCCTTCGTCGAATCCACCGGCCACGCCGTTCTCAAGCTCACCGGCCTCCGCTCACTCAAGCCGGCCTCTGCTCACTCTAGCCCGCCGTGTGTGACACTGTGTGACGCATTTTATGGAAGACAGTTTCCTGAACCTGTAGAGTAGACTACAATGGGTCTGTGCTCAAAGGCTGTTCTATAAAGTGGGGCAGTTCCAACTTTGCAAGGACAGTCTGGCGCTTCTGACTCATAGCCTGTAAGTACATTTTTTATATTTAAAGAATTTGCCACTGACGATTCAAACGCGAGTTTTGAGCAGTGTAGAGTAGCGCTTGTTGTTTGTCATTTCTCAGATCACAAATGCAGACATGGTTTGATGTTTACGCGGCTCGATACGCAACGTGTAAAAAGACAGTATAAGTCATTATAATCCGTAATTATGTCCCCACTGGATGCAACAAATGCCTCGTTTGTAATGGTTTTTATTGGTTTTGTCTCGCTGTGCCGGGAGACAGCATCACAGTATGGTAAGGGGCATAACATTTCCGTCACACGCTTGAGGTATTCGGCCAATCCCAATGTGCTGGATAGCTGGCCAATCACACCACACATCCCTTTTCAGACCGATGAGCTTTGTAAAAATCGACGCATTTCAGAATGGCGGGGCATAGAAGAGAAACAATAATGTACAGTATGTGGAAAATAATGTGTTTTTTATGCTGCTGTCCGCGCTGTCAGTTCGGTAGCGCTGTCGAGTCAGTCTCACCACGGCGTGAGCTCTGTAACATCGCGCTGTTTTATCCCACTTTCGGAATTGTACTTGACGACGGTAAAATTTTGTTTTTGATAAGTGTTTTCACTAGTGTATGTAAGAGGTTTTCAGTTATGCATATGAATGAATTTCACTAAGGTTGATAAGTGTTTTCACTAGTGTTTGCATTGACGACGGTAAAATGTTGTTTATATTATTAATAGCTTCAGACAACTTACGACTAAACGCCATTGAAGAGTTTGTGAGACGCGCCAAATTAAACGGAAGTGTTGACACAGCTTCCGTTTCCAGTGAAATTAGCTCTCATCATCTACTGAAATATTTACTTATTTCACTTATGCTTATATGAATTTCACTAAGGCTGATCTTTTCGTTTCACTCGTGTATGTAAGACGCTTTTCAATAATTATGGCCTATACGGCCCCTCATACTTTTGAATGAATGTGCCTCGCTCATGAAGAAACATCTTGCCACTTACTGGTAATATGTAACCTGCAGAACATATTTACGGGAAAATGCCCTCCTCTGCAGAAGGGCAGTGGGAATTGGCGAACAAGCGGAGTGATACAGACAGTGAAAAGTCTCAGTAGCCTTCTAGCGCCGTTCGACCAATCAAATTTGTGAGGACTACTTATAACCACTGTCACTCTTGTTTTGAATGGGGAAAAAATGCAACATTCAATATGGCCGCTCTATCGAACAGCCAATCG